CTTCTTGACACAGGTGGAGGTCCTGTGGGACTTCTTGACACAGGTGGTGGTCCTGTGGGACTTCCTGACACAGGTGGAGGTCCTGTGGGACTTCTTGACACAGGTGGTGGTCCTGTGGGACTTCCTGACACAGGTGGAGGTCCTGTGGGACTTCTTGACACAGGTGGAGGTCCTGTGGGACTTCTTGACACAGGTGGAGGTCCTGTGGGACTTCTTGACACAGGTGGAGGTGCTGTGGGACTTCCTGAGACAGCTGGTGTGTGTGTTGAACCTTCCCCCCCCCCCACACACACACACACACACACACACACACACACACACACACACACACACACACACACACACACACAAAGGTGTTCGGGTCAGTGAGTTTACAAGATTACCTCCATAAGCCTTCAGTGTGTGTGTGTGTGTGTGCGCGTGTGTGTGTGTGTGTGTTCTCCAGCTCCCCATCCACCAAGTTTCCGTGGAGTGGCTGTCGGCCTGAGGGGCTCAAGATATATATACTCCCTTTCAGGAGTGAAATTTAGGTGGTGGTTGTATTATAATACAATATATTGGATCCCTTTGTTAGGGAAGGACAGGTGTCGTACCAAGGGTGTGGCTAGGCCAGGTGTGGCCCTCCCAGGGGTGTGGCTAGGCCAGGTGAGGCCCTCCCAGGGGTGTGGCTAGGCCAGGTGAGGCCCTCCCAGGGGTGTGGCTAGGCCAGGTGTGGCCCTCCCAGGGGTGTGGCTAGGCCAGGTGTGGCCCTCCCAGGGGTGTGGCTAGGCCAGGTGAGGCCCTCCCAGGGGTGTGGCTAGGCCAGGTGAGGCCCTCCCAGGGGTGTGGCTAGGCCAGGTGTGGCCCTCCCAGGGGTGTGGCTAGGCCAGGTGAGCCCTCCCAGGGTGTGGCTAGGCCAGGTGAGGCCCTCCCAGGGGTGTGGCTAGGCCAGGTGTGGCCCTCCCAGGGGTGTGGCTAGGCCAGGTGTGGCCCTCCCAGGGTGTGGCTAGGCCAGGTGAGGCCCTCCCAGGGGTGTGGCTAGGCCAGGTGTGGCCCTCCCAGGGGTGTGGCTAGGCCAGGTGTGGCCCTCCCAGGGGTGTGGCTAGGCCAGGTGTGGCCCTCCCAGGGGTGTGGCTAGGCCAGGTGTGGCCCTCCCAGGGGTGTGGCTAGGCCAGGTGTGGCCCTCCCAGGGGTGTGGCTAGGCCAGGTGTGGCCCTCCCAGGGGTGTGGCTTGGCCAGGTGAGGCCCTCCCAGGGGTGTGGCTAGGCCAGGTGAGGCCCTCCCAGGGGTGTGGCTAGGCCAGGTGTGGCCCTCCCAGGGGTGTGGCTAGGCCAGGTGAGGCCCTCCCAGGGGTGTGGCTAGGCCAGGTGAGGCCCTCCCAGGGGTGTGGCTAGGCCAGGTGAGGCCCTCCCAGGGGTGTGGCTAGGCCAGGTGAGGCCCTCCCAGGGGTGTGGCTAGGCCAGGTGAGGCCCTCCCAGGGGTGTGGCTAGGCCAGGTGAGGCCCTCCCAGGGGTGTGGCTAGGCCAGGTGTGGCCCTCCCAGGGGTGTGGCTAGGCCAGGTGTGGCCCTCCCAGGGGTGTGGCTAGGCCAGGTGTGGCCCTCCCAGGGGTGTGGCTAGGCCAAAGGTACGAAAATACGTAGAAAACCGTGATGAGGATTCGAACTTATGCGATGGGTGTTCCCTAGCATTTCTGATCACCAGGCCACGACATGATAAAAAGGATTAGAACCTGTCCTTAGAATTAGAACTTAGAACCTTAGAATTAGAACTAGTTTCTAATCTAGTTCAGGGTTCTACTGTCCCCGTTTTGCAAGAATAGGTTAATTTATTCTTGTTTATTCCTTCCTGTTCTTATTCACTAATTTTTTCGTCTTTTCTACCCGTTTCTCTTTGTAGTCTTGACTTTCCTTATCTTGAGATGATTTCGGGGCTTTAGTGTCCCCGCGGCCCGGTCCTCGACTAGGCCTCCACCCCCAGGAAGCAGCCCGTGACAGCTGACTAACACCCAGGTACCTATTTTACTGCTAGGTAACAGGGGCATAGGGTGAAAGAAACTCTGCCCATTGTTTCTCGCCCGTGCCTGGGATCGAACCCAGGACCACAGGATCACAAGTCCAGCGTGCTGTCCGCTCGGCCGACCGGCTACTTTGCTGCTCCTGCCTTGTGAAACTTCTTGGATTAAGTTTCTTCCGATGGCAACTTGATCGTGTAGAAGAGTATGGCAACTTGAGCGTGTTGAAGAGTATGGCAACTTGAGCGTGTTGAAGAGTATGGCAACTTGAGCGTGTTGAAGAGTATGGCAACTTGAGCGTGTTGAAGAGTATGGCAACTTGAGCGTGTTGAAGAGTATGGCAACTTGAGTGTGTAGAAGAGTATGGCAACTTGAGCGTGTAGAAGAGTATGGCAACTTGAGCGTGTAGAAGAGTATGGCAACTTGAGTGTGTAGAAGAGTATGGCAACTTGAGCGTGTAGAAGAGTATGGCAACTTGAGCGTGTAGAAGAGTATGGCAACTTGAGCGTGTAGAAGAGTATGGCAACTTGAGCGTGTTGAAGAGTATGGCAACTTGAGCGTGTTGAAGAGTATGGCAACTTGAGCGTGTTGAAGAGTATGGCAACTTGAGCGTGTTGAAGAGTATGGCAACTTGAGCGTGTTGAAGAGTATGGCAACTTGAGCGTGTAGAAGAGTATGGCAACTTGAGCGTGTAGAAGAGTATGGCAACTTGAGTGTATAGAAGAGTATGGCAACTTGAGCGTGTTGAAGAGTATGGCAACTTGAGCGTGTTGAAGAGTATGGCAACTTGAGCGTGTTGAAGAGTATGGCAACTTGAGAGTGTTGAAGAGTATGGCAACTTGAGCGTGTTGAAGAGTATGGCAACTTGAGCGTGTTGAAGAGTATGGCAACTTGAGCGTGTTGAAGAGTATGGCAACTTGAGCGTGTTGAAGAGTATGGCAACTTGAGCGTGTTGAAGAGTATGGCAACTTGAGCGTGTTGAAGAGTATGACAACTTGAGCGTGTTGAAGAGTATGGCAACTTGAGAGTGTAGAAGAGTATGGCTACTTGAGCGTGTTGAAGAGTATGACAACTTGAGTGTGTAGAAGAGTGTGGCAACTATGGCAACTTGAACGTGTAGAAGAGTATGGCAACTTGAGCGTGTAGAAGAGTATGGCAACTTGAGCGTGTAGAAGAGTATGGCAACTTGAGCGTGTAGAAGAGTATGGCAACTTGAGCGTGTAGAAGAGTATGGCAACTTGAGCGTGTAGAAGAGTATGGCAACTTGAGCGTGTAGAAGAGTATGGCAACTTGAGCGTGTAGAAGAGTATGGCAACTTGAGCGTGTAGAAGAGCATGGCAACTTGAGCGTGTAGAAGAGCATGGCAACTTGAGCGTGTAGAAGAGTATGGCAACTTGAGCGTGTAGAAGAGTATGGCAACTTGAGCGTGTAGAAGAGTATGGCAACTTGAGCGTGTAGAAGAGTATGGCAACTTGAGCGTGTAGAAGAGTATGGCAACTTGAGCGTGTAGAAGAGTATGGCAACTTGAGCGTGTAGAAGAGTAGGGCAACTTGAGCGTGTAGAAGAGTAGGGCAACTTGAGCGTGTAGAAGTGTGTGGCAACTATGGCAACTTGAGCGTGTAGAAGAGTGTGGCAACTATGGAAACTTGAACGTGTAGAAGAGTATGGCAACTTGAGCGTGTAGAAGAGCATGGCAACTTGAGCGTGTAGAAGAGCATGGCAACTTGAGCGTGTAGAAGAGTATGGCAACTTGAGCGTGTAGAAGAGTATGACAACTTGAGCGTGTAGAAGAGTATGGCAACTTGAGCGTGTAGAAAAGTATGGCAACTTGAGCGTGTAGAAGAGTATGGCAACTTGAGCGTGTAGAAGAGTATGGCAACTTGAGCGTGTAGAAGAGTATGGCAACTTGAGCGTGTAGAAGAGTATGGCAACTTGAGCGTGTAGAAGAGTATGGCAACTTGAGCGTGTAGAAGAGCATGGCAACTTGAGCGTGTAGAAGAGCATGGCAACTTGAGCGTGTAGAAGAGTATGGCAACTTGAGCGTGTAGAAGAGTATGGCAACTTGAGCGTGTAGAAGAGTATGGCAACTTGAGCGTGTAGAAGAGTATGGCAACTTGAGCGTGTTGAAGAGTATGGCAACTTGAGCGTGTTGAAGAGTATGGCAACTTGAGCGTGTTGAAGAGCATGGCAACTTGAGCGTGTTGAAGAGTATGGCAACTTGAGCGTGTTGAAGAGTATGGCAACTTGAGCGTGTTGAAGAGTATGGCAACTTGAGCGTGTTGAAGAGTATGGCAACTTGAGCGTGTTGAAGAGTATGGCAACTTGAGCGTGTTGAAGAGTATGACAACTTGAGCGTGTTGAAGAGTATGGCAACTTGAGAGTGTAGAAGAGTATGGCTACTTGAGCGTGTTGAAGAGTATGACAACTTGAGTGTGTAGAAGAGTGTGGCAACTATGGCAACTTGAACGTGTAGAAGAGTATGGCAACTTGAGCGTGTAGAAGAGTATGGCAACTTGAGCGTGTAGAAGAGTAGGGCAACTTGAGCGTGTAGAAGAGTAGGGCAACTTGAGCGTGTAGAAGAGTAGGGCAACTTGAGCGTGTAGAAGAGTGTGGCAACTATGGCAACTTGAGCGTGTAGAAGAGTGTGGCAACTATGGAAACTTGAACGTGTAGAAGAGTATGGCAACTTGAGCGTGTAGAAGAGCATGGCAACTTGAGCGTGTAGAAGAGTATGGCAACTTGAGCGTGTAGAAGAGTATGGCAACTTGAGCGTGTAGAAGAGTATGGCAACTTGAGCGTGTAGAAGAGTATGGCAACTTGAGCGTGTAGAAGAGTATGGCAACTTGAGCGTGTAGAAGAGTATGGCAACTTGAGCGTGTAGAAGAGTATGGCAACTTGAGCGTGTAGAAGAGTATGGCAACTTGAGCGTGTAGAAGAGTATGGCAACTATGACAACTTGAGCGTCTAGAAGAGTGTGGCAACTATGGCAACTTGAGCGTGTAGAAGAGTATGGCAACTCGAGCGTGTAGAAGAGTGTGGCAACTTGAGCGTGTAGAAGAGTATAGCAACTATGGCAATTTGTGTAGAAGAGTGTGGCTGCCAACTATGGCAACTTGAGCGTGTAGAAGAGTATGGCAACTATGGCAACTCGAGCGTGTAGAAGCGTATGGCAACTGGACAGCGCGCCAAGACCGCAGATGTCGCCCTCACCTCACCCGTGATTTTATCTGGTAAAAGGAGATCTCTGAAGCGAGAATGTCGGTGGTGAACTGGGGTCGTCTCGTGTGTCGTGGTTGGTGGTAGTCGTTGTCGTGGTTGGTGGTAGTCGTTGTCGTGGTTGGTGGTATTCGTTGTCGTGGTTGGTGGTAGTCGTTGTGGTTGGTGGTAGTCGTTGTGGTTGGTGTGGTCGTTGTCGTGGTTGGTGGTATTCGTTGTCGTGGTTGGTGGTATTCGTTGTCGTGGTTGGTGGTAGTCGTTGTGGTTGGTGGTAGTCGTTGTGGTTGGTGTGGTCGTTGTCGTGGTTGGTGGTAGTCGTTGTTGTGGTCGGTGGTAGTCGTTGTGGTTGGTGGTAGTCGTTGTCGTGGTTGGTGTGGTCGTTGTGGTTGGTGGGGTCGTTGTCGTGGTTGGTGGTAGTCGTTGTCGTGGTTGGTGGTAGTCGTTGTCGTGGTTGGTGGTATTCGTTGTCGTGGTTGGTGGTATTCGTTGTCGTGGTTGGTGGTAGTCGTTGTGGTTGGTGGTAGTCGTTGTGGTTGGTGTGGTCGTTGTTGTGGTTGGTGGTAGTCGTTGTCGTGGTTGGTGGTAGTCGTTGTTGTGGTCGGTGGTAGTCGTTGTGGTTGGTGGTAGTCGTTGTCGTGGTTGGTGTGGTCGTTGTGGTTGGTGGGGTCGTTGTCGTGGTTGGTGTGGTCGTTGTTGTGGTTGGTGGTAGTCGTTGTCGTGGTTGGTGGTAGTCGTTGTTGTGGTCGGTGGTAGTCGTTGTGGTTGGTGGTAGTCGTTGTCGTGGTTGGTGTGGTCGTTGTGGTTGGTGGGGTCGTTGTCGTGGTTGGTGGTAGTCGTTGTCGCGGTTGGTGGTAGTCGTTGTTGTGGTTGGTGGTAGTCGTTGTGGTTGGTGTGGTCGTTGTTGTGGTCGGTGGTCGTTGTTGTGGTCGGTGGTAGTCGTTGTGGTTGGTGGGGTCGTTGTCGTGGTTGGTGGTAGTCGTTGTCGCGGTTGGTGGTAGTCGTTGTCGCGGTTGGTGGTAGTCGTTGTCGCGGTTGGTGGTAGTCGTTGTTGTGGTTGGTGGTAGTCGTTGTTGTGGTTGGTGGTAGTCGTTGTGGTTGGTGTGGTCGTTGTCGTGGTTGGTGGTAGTCGTTGTTGTGGTTGGTGGTAGTCGTTGTTGTGGTTGGTGGGGTCGTTGTTGTGGTTGGTGTCGTTATCGTGGTTGGTGGAGTCGTCAATGGAGATGAGCTGGGGTATGAGGACCAGGAGCTGGGGTATGAGGACCAGGAGCTGGGGTATGAGGACCAGGAGCTGGGGTATGAGGACCAGGAGCTGGGGAATGAGGACCAGGAGCTGGGATATGAGGACCTGGAGCTGGGATATGAGGACCAGGAGCTGGGATATGAGGACCAGGAGCTGGGATATGAGGACCAGGAGCTGGGATATGAGGACCAGGAGCTGGGGTATGAGGACCAGGAGCTGGGGTATGAGGACCAGGAGCCGGGGTATGAGGACCAGGAGCCGGGGTATGAGGACCAGGAGCCGGGGTATGAGGACCCGGAGCCGGGGTATGAGGACCCGGAGCCGGGGTATGAGGACCCGGAGCCGGAGTATGAGGACCCGGAGCCGGGGTATGAGGACCCGGAGCCGGGGTATGAGGACCCGGAGCCGGGGTATGAGGACCCGGAGCCGGGGTATGAGGACCCGGAGCCGGGGTATGAGGACCCGGAGCCGGGGTATGAGGACCCGGAGCCGGGGTATGAGGACCCGGAGCCGGGGTATGAGGACCCGGAGCCGGGGTATGAGGACCCGGAGCCGGGTATGAGGACCCGGAGCCGGGGTATGAGGACCCGGAGCCGGGGTATGAGGACCCGGAGCCGGGGTATGAGGACCCGGAGCCGGGGTATGAGGACCCGGAGCCGGGTATGAGGACCCGGAGCCGGGTATGAGGACCCGGAGCCGGGGTATGAGGACCCGGAGCCGGGGTATGAGGACCCGGAGCCGGGGTATGAGGACCCGGAGCCGGGGTATGAGGACCCGGAGCCGGGGTATGAGGACCCGGAGCCGGGGTATGAGGACCCGGAGCCGGGGTATGAGGACCCGGAGCCGGGGTATGAGGACCCGGAGCCGGGGTATGAGGACCCGGAGCCGGGGTATGAGGACCCGGAGCCGGGGTATGAGGACCCGGAGCATGAGGACCCGGAGCCGGGGTATGAGGACCCGGAACCGGGGTATGAGGATCAGGAGCCGGGGTATGAGGACCCGGAGCCGGGGTATGAGGACCCGGAGCCGGGGTATGAGGACCCGGAGCCGGGGTATGAGGACCCGGAGCCGGGGTATGAGGACCAGGAGCCGGGGTATGAGGATCCCGGAGCCGGGGTATGAGGACCAGGAGCTGGGGTATGAGGTTTAACTCCATACTTGTCTAACTCCATATGACAAAATCCACGATGTTTGGGGACAATTTTCCCCAATTGGTGAGTGGGTAAGAGGCGTGGCCCAAGAGCTGCACCGAGCCCGATACCACAAGTACAAGGCGAGCACAGATACTAGTCACACAAGAAAATAAAATAATAATAGCGTAATAATAAAATGTTCGTGAGTTGAAGACATCCACCACAGCGCCCAGCACACGACGTAGGCTGGAAGCCGACGACGGGTGCGAGGCCAAGATGACCCCACGAGCACCACGGAGAAACTGGCTCCTTTGGAGTGATGGTTGATGAAGATTAAGCCACCCAAAAGGTGGCACGGGCATGAATAGCCCATAAGTGGTGGCCCTTTTGAGCCATTACCAGTATCAATAGATGATACTGGAGATCTGTGGAGGTGCGACTGCACCCTGCGTGATGGGAGATGTCTCCCGTTCGGCAACTGCTTATCTTGAGGTTATCTTGAGATAATTTCGGGGCTTTAGTGTCCCCGCGACCAGGCCTCCATCCCCCAGGAAGCAGCCCGTGACAGCTGACTAACTCCCAGGTACCTATTTTACTGCTAGGTAACAGTGGCATAGGGTGAAAGAAGCTCTGCCCATCGTTTCTCGCTGGCGCCTGGGATCTAACCCGGGACCACAGGATCACAAGTCCAGTGTGCTGTCCGCTCGGCCGACCAGCTCTCTCTGCTAATTAAAGACGGGGAACTGCTTGTTTGCTGAGGCACCTCTGTCTCAGCCAAGGCCCTGGGGAAGTACGGGGTCGTAGAGCCTGTGGCAGGTGCTTACGGGGGTTGAGCTCTGGCTCTTTGGTCCCGCCTCTCAACCGTCAATCAACTGGTGTACAGGTTCCTGAGCCTACTGGGCTCTATCATATCTACACTTGAAACTGTGTATGGAGTCAGCCTCCACCACATCACTGCCTTACGCCAGTACCGGGTTAGTTATCCTAGTCTATCCACTGCGAATTGGGTCGTTAGCAGACACCTGTATCCAGCTGCCACCGGGAATGTCTTGATCGAGTCCGGATGAATCGTACGGTTATCAGATATTAATTAAATGCCCTGTTCGCTACACCGAACAAGCTCCCTTTTTAATTCCCCACAACTAGGTCATCGCTTCTAACGAATCATTCCAGCAGGATTCAGCAGAATTTCACCCAAAAATTCTACTCGCTTTAATCATTACCGAAATATTCACTGAATTGTTGTGGGAGCAACAGCAACTAACTGCCCTGGTTTGGTGGGAGGTGGGGGGGGGGGGAGGGTAGAGTATGCCAAGTTGAATGGCCCAGTTGCGTGCCACTAGGCCATTCCCGATTGGCACCGTTTAGGTGTGTGGCTCTCTAAATTACCCCTCATTACCATCAGTTATGGAAGGGGGGATAGCTTGCCCAAATCTGACTTTACCTCTAATTTTTTTTCTGTCGGCCCCAAAATAGCCCAACAGGTGCTGCTAGCGATGATATTGGGTCAATATTCCTATTCATCAAACGTAAATCATCCAAAATATTGACTTTTTCGACGCACCGATTGCGTTGTCCTCCTACAAATTACGTCTGAATTTGGCCGTTTGGCCGAAAATGGACGTAATTTGAAAATGAAAAGTAATTGAAAATAAATTTTGCATTTTTTTTCCCATAACAGCAAGTTAAGGTGTCCTGTGGCAGGTTCTTAGGAGGACAGGAAGTTCTCCTAAGTTTTCAAAACGTCATGAAAATCATTAATTGAAAGTTTCGTCTCCTAGCCTAGCAGCCTAAACCAGAGAACCCAAAACAGAATACGGGACAGTACGTCACTTTCGTCAGCCGATTTCATTTTGAATTGCTAAATTATACAGTGGAAAATATAACTTTTTAAATTCTACAGTGGAAAAGGGAACTTGGATTATTGGCATTATAATTAAATTATACAATGGAGCTTGAATTATTAAATTATAGTTGAAAATGAAACTTTGATTATTAAATTATTCAGTGGAAAATGATACTTAAATGCAGGGAGAGAGAGAGAGGGAGAGGGAAAGAGAGAGAGAGAGGGAGGGAGAGGGAAAGAGAGAGAGAGAGGGAGAGGGAAAGAGAGAGAGAGGGAGAGAGAGAGAGAGAGAGAGAGAGAGAGAGAGAGAGAGAGAAGAGAGAGAGAGAGAGAGAGAGAGAGAGAGAGAGAGAGAGAGAGAGAGGAAATTTGGTCATTTTACTAAGTAATATCAAAAAATGAGATCGCTGCTTCACCAGCTGTTTTTCATCAACTAAAAAACCAGTTTTATAACATTGATGTTACGAGTATAATATTCTCGCTGCCTTGTTTATTCTTGTTTACTCTCATGACTTACATTTTCCTAGCTTCTATGGAGGGAAAAAATGAGTTAGGCCTTGTATATATTGCCATATATTCCCCCTTCCTTTAACCCCTTTCTTTATTGGTTCATCTGTGTTTACTCTGCTTTTCGACTCCCAGTTCGACTCCCAGTTCGGCCATTTATTGAACCATTTCTCTTCTGTCCCTCATTCGTTAATTTTTATATCTCTTTTTATCCGTTTATTTCCTCTCTTTATCACTCTTTTTTTTCATCTCTCTACATCCCGATCGGGAGAGAAATGGTTGGGCCGTGTTTTCTATGACCTTATGCATCTGTTCACCTTAAGTTAAATAGGTACCCAGGAGTCAGTAGTGGTTTTTTTATTATTTTTGTTATTCATTTATCGCTGTTTCTCCATTTTTTTCTAGTTTTTTATCCCTTTATTGTTTGATTTACTTTTGTACGGCATTTTAATTTTTCATTGTGAATAGTGAAAAAGGGGGTGGGGAGGGAGGGAATTATCAGAGAAGAGCGCCAAGCCATTACGATTAAAAAGGGAGAAAATACCCCCTTTGTTATCTCAGGATATTAGAACTGATTAGCCTTTTCGGGCGCAGATTCACGAAGCAGTTACGCAAGCACTTACGAACCTGTCCATCTTTTCTCAGTCTTTGGCGGATTTGTTTACAATTATTAAACAGTTAATGAGCTGCGAAGCACCAGGAGGCTGTTTATAACAATAACAACAGTTGATTGGCAAGTTTTCATGCTTGTAAACTGTTTAATAAATGTAACCAAAGCCGTCAAAGATTGAGGAAAGATGGACACGTTCGTAAGTGCTTGCGTAACTGCTTCGTGAATCTGGCCTCTGATTCCTAAGTCCTTGCGTAACTGCTTCGTGAATCTGGCTCCAGGTTCGTAAGTGCTTGCGTAACTGCTCCGTGAATCTGGCCTCTGGAGAGTCACTTAGGCCTAAGACTCATCACTCTGGTGTCGTTAGGTGATGAGTTTTGACTCATCAATGAAGATCACGTGGTTGTAACGTCGTCAGGCTGCGAGCAACCGCGTCCAACAGCCTGGTTGATCAGTCCAGCAACCAGGAGGCCTGGTCGACGACCGGGCCGCGGGGACGCTAAGCCCCGGAAGCACCTCAAGGTAATCTCAAGGTGGTATAACTCACACGCTTTCTTGCTTGTATCGCGTGACCTTGGTTCGAATCCTCGACTCTGGAGATGAATTAGTTGTGTATGTATTGGATTTATGGTTTGAAGCCTCATTTGAAGCCTCATTCAAACTTCTACTTTAAGTTAAGCTTAAACTCGAACCCTGTGTATGGGTGTGGAAATACAGAATGTATTTACCTAAGTCTTGCTTAATCTACACAGTAAAATAACAACGTACTGGAGTGAACGATATGGAAGAAAATGCCGAATAGATCCAGTGAAGAGCAGAGGTGCCATAGGCACAATCAGATAACACTGTATAAACATCAGAGGTCCGCGGTTGTTCAACGTCCTCCCAGCGACTATAAGAAATATTGCCGGAACAACCGTGGACATCTTCAAGAGGAAACTAGATAGTTTCCTCCAAGGAGTGCCGGACCAACCGGGCCTGCGGGCCGCTCCAAGCAACAGCCTGGTGGACCAAGCTCTCACAAGTCGAACCTGGCCTCGGGCCGGGCTTGGGAAGTAGAAGAACTCCCAGAACCCCATCCAGTTAAAAGTCTTTCCAGATAGTGTGGATGAGTGTATATATATATATATATATATATATATGTCGTACCTAGTAGCCAGAACGCACTTCTCAGCCTACTATGCAAGGCCCGATTTGCCTAATAAGCCAAGTTTTCATGAAGTAATTGTTTTACGACTACCTAACCTACCTAACCTAACCTAACCTAACGTTTTCGGCTACCTAACCTAACCTAACCTATAAAGATAGGTTAGGTGAGGTTAGGTAGGGTTGGTTAGGTTCGGTCATATATCTACGTTAATTTTAACTCCAATAAAAAAAAATTGACCTCATACATTATGAAATGGGTAGCTTTACCATTTCATAAGAAAAAAATTAGAGAAAATATATTATTTCAGGAAAACTTGGCTTATTAGGCAAATCGGGCCTTGCATAGTAGGCTGAGAAGTGCGTTCTGGCTACTAGGTACGACATATATATATATATATATATATATATATATATATATATATATATATATATATATATATATATATATAATACTCATCAAGTCAAAGTCAAGCCCTTGACAAGGACCTGACTGTTACATACGGTTGATAAAAGGAAAAATTGCAATTGAATATGGATTCGACGGCAAAGTTGATTGATGGGTGTCACCCAGGCACGGGTTGATGGCGTGATTGATGGCCTATGGCAATTGGCAGTTGCCATATTTTGTGAATGCCATGACTGAGGCGAGACTAGTGGGCCTAGGCAGTCAAGCCTGGACCTTAGGGCTGGAAGAAGCCCTTAAGCCCTTAGTAGGAGGACCTGAAACACGAGGGCCCCCGAAGGGCAGCTCTATTGACAGATAGTCGAATACACCCCTCCCTGTCAACCCGTCTGTCCCTATCTGCCTGTCAACCTGTCTATCCAGAATAGGGGGGGAGACACATTTCAACAATTTCTCAGCCAGTTTGTCAATGGACCAAAACCATAAAATGTTAGTAATGATGCCAGCTCTACCCTATTTCCAAACCAGTATTTACCCAGGGTTTTTTTACCAAATGTCAATTGACAGAAGTTACATCCTTGTCCCATCGTCTTTATGGGGAATGTAAGTTAGGATTGTATTTTAAGGAGAGAGAGAGAGAGAGAGAGAGAGAGGCGGAGAGAGAGAGAGGCGGAGAGAGAGAGAGGCGGAGAGAGAGAGAGGCGGAGAGAGAGAGAGGCGGAGAGAGAGAGAGGCGGAGAGAGAGAGAGGCGGAGAGATTTATTGTATTAGAGAGAGAGAGGCGGAGAGAGAGAGAGGCGGAGAGAGAGAGAGGCGGAGAGAGAGAGAGGGGGGGAGAGAGAGAGGGGGGAGAGAGAGGGAGAGAGAGAGATGGGGAGAGAGAGAGATGGGGAGGGGAGAGAGAGAGAGAGGGGGGGGGGAGGAGAGAGGGGGGAGAGGGAGAGAGAGAGAGAGAGAGAGAGAGACAGAGACAGAGACAGAGAGAGAGAGAGAGAGAGAGAGAGAGAGAGAGAGAGAGAGAGAGAGAGAGAGAGACAGACAGAGAGAAAGAGAGAGAAAGAGAGAGAGACAGAGGAGGAGGAGGAGGAAGCCAGGAACCAAGATTGACACCTGTCAAGTCTGTGATATCAACTGATGCTGTTATTGTGTGGAGTGAGATAGCTGTCTTATTCATCATTAAGGGAGATGATGATGTAGGGTGGAACAGGGGGGGAGGGGGAGAGGCCAGGAGGAACGGAGAGAGAGAGAAGGGACAGGGAGACAGGAGGTGTGTGGAAATAGTCTAGACAGAGACAGACAGTCACAAGAAAGCTCCGATGACAGGATCTGAGATTTGGCAGAAACCGTACAATGGCCTGGGACGGGCCGGACGGATGGGACAGGTAAAGGGATGGTCTGGGACGGACTGGACGGGATAGGAATGTTGTTCATGCTACAGAGTGATACATTCTCTCTCCTCTCTCTCTTTCACCCTTTTCACTTTTCTCTCCCCCTCCCCTCTCCCTCCCAATCTCCCTCCCCAATCTCCCTCTCCCCCCCCCAATCTCCCTCCCCAATCTCCCTCTCCCCCCCAATCTCCCTCAAACAAGCGCTGGGGGGTTGTATCAGTGAAAGCCCCAATTAACGAGGATGTAATCCAATTGCACATCAGACCTCTCCTAACCCTGGTACCTGCTGCTCCAAAATGAATACAAGTCTCCAGACACAACAGCCTAAGGGATCCTCCCTGGGAAATAATAAATAGTGGAAGGGGGGGGGATTTGATATTGAACTAGCTGACCTTCTATTTTTTTTTTTTTGGGGGGGGGGGGGCTTTCAATTATTCAATAAAGTTGAAGTGGATCGTTTGATCTTGCAATTGCTAGTTAGGAATTGCTCGTTTCAGACGTGCCTTTTAGACCATGGTGTACTGTTGCATCTACAACAGTAGCAACAGGCTATAGACCAACAGCAACAGAAAAATTAGAAATTCAGCCACTAAAAATGCGTTTAAAACGCCTGGCTTAGGTTGTGGGGAGTCGGAACGGCAACTCCAGTCATCAGCGGGAAGCATCTGGCAACCCTTTTGTTTACAAGGCATCAGCGCCATCTATTGACCGCATTTCCTATCAGGCCTCTTTATTCCTATTAACTCTTCAGTAAACATGTATATTTTATGTATAGCGAGTGAATACATATCCCTGTATTAATATGTGTGTATGAAATGAATGATTGGTGTTAGTTTACTAATTGTAGATTGTTAATTAGCAATTACTGGTGAATGTAATCCATTCACTCCATGATAGACTACCATACTTCATCACATAAGGGAGGAGGGGCTATCCACTGGACCCCAGGGGACCCCAGTGGACCCCAGTGGACCCCAAGCACATTGACCCCGGTATAAAAGTCTCACGGGTGTGTTGATAGACCATTTTGCACTATGATATTTTCTCATCTAGGATTGTTTCAAGCGTAGGATAGACATGTGAGTGTTTGGGGTGGATGTAAATTAGAGAGGTCTCGTGTGGGCCAATAGGCCTCCTGAGGGCCAGTTTCCTTATTTATGTAATAAATTAATTGTTAATTTGTAGTGAATAGATATTAAGAGCAGTGAATGAAATGGGTGAAGGCAGTGAATGAAATGGGTGAAGGCAGTGAATAAATGAAGGCAGTGAATGAATGGGTGAAGATAGTGAATGAATGAAGGCAGTGAATGAATGGTTGAAAGCAGTGAATGAATGAATGAAGGCAGTGAATAAATGAATGAAGGCAGTGAATGAATGAATGAAGGCAGTGAATGAATGAAGGCAGTGAATGAATGAATGAAGGCAGTGAATGAATGAATGAAGGCAGTAAATGAATGAATGAAGGCAGTAAATGAATGAAGTCAGTGAATGAATGAATGAAGTCAGTGAATGAATGAATGAAGTCAGTGAATGAATGAATGAAGTCAGTGAATGAATGAATGAAGTCAGTGAATGAATGAATGAAGTCAGTGAATGAATGAATGAAGTCAGTGAATGAATGAATGAAGTCAGTGAATGAATGAATGACGTCAGTGAATGAATGAATGAAGTCAGTGAATGAATGAATGAAGTCAGTGAATGAATGAATGAAGTCAGTGAATGAATGAATGAAGTCAGTGAATGAACGAATGAAGCTTGAGATGGGTCCTCTAGCACAGTAGCCTACGTCCTCGACTTACAACCGAGTTCAATATCCGGGCATGACAATATAAAATATATGTATATGTATATATATATATATATATATATATATATATATATATATATATATATATATATATATATATATATATATGTCGTACCTAGTAGCCAGAACGCACTTCTCGGCCTACTATGCAAGGCCCGATTTGCCTAATAAGCCAAGTTTTCCTGAATTAATATATTTTCTCTAATTTTTTTCTTATGAAATAATAAAGCTACCCATTTCATTATGTATGAGATAATTTTTTTTATTAGAGTTAAAATTAACGTAGATATATGACCGAACCTAACCAACCCTACCTAACCTAACCTATCTCTATAGGTTAGGTTAGGTTAGGTAGCCGAAAAAGTTAGGTTAGGTTAGGTAGGTTAGGTAGTCGAAAAAAAATTAATTAATGAAAACTTGGCTTATTATGCAAATTGGGCCTTGCATAGTAGGCTGAGAAGTGCGTTCTGGCTACTAGGTACGACATATATATATATATATATATATATATATATATATATATATATATATATATATATATATATATATATATATATATATATATAATTTGCTGTGAAATTAAAGTGAGCCATGATCAGGGAATGTAAAATACCTAAACAGGCCTCTTCCTGGCCCTAATATGTCCAAACATTTCTATACAAGCTTCCATTTTTCTGTTCCCTCTCTTCCTGTGTGTTATCCCTCTCTCTTTATTCCTCTTTGACACTTCCTGTCTTCTATGAAGCTTTAGTCCTAGCGACCTAGCAGGCCATGGATGGGGGTAGACTTTGGGACATTACCATTGCCAGTTGCTTCATTTATGTCCACTACCAGGTAGGGTAGTGGACTCTCTGGTAGTCTAGAGAAAGTGCAGTCAACCCAATCTTCTTTAAGCCTTCATATTATTGATTAGCTTATCACTAAACCCGTGTGATATGCCTCCCCGGAGCACATGGCACCATGCCTGGATTGGTTAGGTGGTATGTGCTTGGATTGGTTAGACAGAACGGTTGAATTTATTACGGATTGGCAAATCGAGAGATTGGACTGTTGAGGAGGGGGGGGGGTCTCAGAGTGCCACATGTCGGAAGACTGACTGATGGCACTGTAGGCACTGCAATATTGAGTCTGGTGTCCCTCTGTCTTCTCAATGTTTGAAGATTTGCATATAATTGGTGTGGAATATATCCCAGCGGAGGACAGGCCGCTCTCTCCTAGGTACTCCAGGAGGTTTCCTAGGTCCCCAGGAGGCTTCCTAGGTCCCCCAGGAGGCTTTCTAGGTCTCCAGGAAGCTTCCTATAGGTCCCTAGGAGGCTTTCTAGGTCCCCGGGAGGCTTCCTAGGTACCCTTGAAGCTTCCTAGGTCCCCAGGAGACTTACTACCTACCCCTATTGGCTTCCTTGGTCCCCAGGAGGCTTCCTAGGTCTCCAGGAGGCTTCCTAGGTCCCCTGGAGGCTTCCTAGGCCCCCCAGGAGGCTTCCTAGGTCCCCCAGGAGGCTTCCTAGGTGCCCCAGGAGGCTTCCTAGGTGCCCCAGGAGGCTTCCTAGGTCCCCCAGGAGGCTTCCTAGGTGCCCCAGGAGGCTTCCTAGGTGCCCCAGGAGGCTTCCTAGGTGCCCCAGGAGGCTTCCTAGGTGCCCCAGGAGGCTTCCTAGGTGCCCCAGGAGGCTTCCTAGGTGCCCCAGGAGGCTTCCTAGGTGCCCCAGGAGGCTTCCTAGGTGCCCCAGGAGGCTTCCTAGGCCCCCCAGGAGGCTTCCTAGGCCCCCCAGGAGGCTTCCTAGGTGCCCCAGGAGGCTTCCTAGGTCCCCCAGGAGGCTTCCTAGGTCCCCCAGGAGGCTTCCTAGGCCCCCAGGAGGCTTCCTAGGCCCCCAGGAGGCTTCCTAGGCCCCCCAGGAGGCTTCCTAGGTCCCCTGGAGGCATCCTAGGCCCCCAGGAGGCTTCCTAGGTCCCCTGGAGGCTTCCTAGGCCCCCCAGGAGGTTTCCTAGGTCCCCTGGAGGCTTCCTAGGTCCCCTGGAGGCTTCCTAGGTCCCCAGGAGGCTTCCTAGGTCACCTGGAGGCTTCCTAGGCCCCCCAGGAGGCTTCCTAGATCCCCAGGAGGCTTCCTAGGCCCCCAGGAGGTTTCCTAGGTCCCCCAAGAAAGCACTTAAACACTTCATAATCAAGTGTTT